GGAGTACCGACCATATAAATATGGTTGGTACCGGGCAGAGAGGAAGGAATCAAGAGATTCAACCAGAGACTCTGCCCGACTGCGACTCAGTCAACACATTCTCCAGGAACGGTCTTACCAGGAATATACAAAAGACTATATGTAAATATTGTGTACACTTTCTTGTTTCAATACATTTTGTTCTAAGTACATTTCGTGTTGCATTATTATTCCATGCATTAGTCAAGTTTCAACAATATGTATACAGTCTTTGGTATTGAAGTATCGTTGTATGACTTGTTACTGGGTCTACGTGCTCGCTTACTGTGACTCCTACAACGCTGTTACCTCACCCTCACTCTTCCGGTTACCTATAACCTTTTACTCTGTCACTCTGAACTCGACTCTTTGGTCTTGCCCTCTCGGGTCTTCACTGGCAGTAGTATAAGTATACACTGGGTGAGTCCATCTGTGTAAAAAGGGGTGGACCCCTCAACATTTACAATACACAGAGAGAGAATAATAAAAGCTAATCGCCCAGACATTGTGATCAAAGACAACAAAAACAAAATGTGCCTTCTTATTGATATGGCAGTCCCTGCAGTCTGTAATGTATCATTAAAGATCTTAATCAAAATACAAGGACCTAGAAATTGAAATTGAATGCTGGACATCAACAACTCCAGTTGTAGTTGGAGCCCTCGGATTGATTGAAAAAATTCAATTAGACTCATTGAAGGGATTCCTCGTATCCCAAGCCTTAAAGAAATACAACAAATTGTACTCACAAGTACAGCTCACACCTTACGAAGAGCTTTATCTATATAAAATATGTGTGATCTTTTTTTTTTTCCTAAAAAAAATGCTCAGCAGAAAATGACATGATGCCATTTCTAACCTAAAGACTCTGGTTGGGACCCAGGATATCCGGAACTAGCAAAAAATGAATATACCCACAAACAACAAGGTAACAGCATATGTGCACTGGAAGACATGCAAGAAGCACAAATTCAAAACTACTGAGAGATGGTATGACCACTAACCAGATGCAGTTACCCAAAATAACGGTGTAACTATCCTCTGGGACATGTCAATTCAAACTAATAGGGAAATAAAAGCCAACAGAGGTGATTTCATAAAAGACAAGAAATTCAGGAAGTGTATGCTTATTGACATAGCAGCAACATCTGAGAGAAACAGCATGAAAATTATCGAGAATTGTCCAAATACAAGGACCTGAAGATCGAGATTAATAGGATGTGGGGAATTAAAACTGAGACTGTATCAATAATAATCGAAGCTCTGGGCCTCGTGAGAGAAGGAATGGACAGTTTTACTAACACTGTCCCAGGTAACATCAACATACAAGTTGCTTAGAAAATCGCCCTACTAGGAACATCCCGTATACTAAGAAAAGTGCTATCAATTAAACGAGAATTCTTCTATAGGACCTAAGGACGATAGTTTGGACTTGGTTGTACATAATACAAAGCAGGAAACATAAATAATATAATAATAATAATTGAAATCGAAATCTCAAAAATGTGGCACATGTGACAATTCCTGTTGTAGTTGGAGCCCTCGGATTGGTTGGAAAAGATTCCAGTAGACTAATTGAAGGGATTCCTGGAAGTCCATGCCTTAAAGAAATACAAAAAAAATTATTCTCCCGAGTACAACCCACACCTTACGAAGGGCTTTGTCTATATAAAATATGTTGTTTTTTTTTTGTCCACTGGAAAATGTCATGATGCCATTTCTAACCTTAAGTCCCTGGACGGGATCCGGAAAGAAATGAAGAAATCGAAGGAAATAAAATAATGATAATAATAATAAAAAAACAGACAGTGATTAGTTTACAAAAAATAAAATATTGATTTTTATTACGGGCCATCATATTTACAAAGAAGCAATTCAGTCGATAGCTGTCAAAATGAATTTGTACCGCTGGACGTCAGACACGACTGAGGTGAATCGCCGATGTTATAAAAATATGTTTTTAATGTTTTTGTAAACAACATTTGGCGATTTTTTGCAGTTAAAACAAGAAAAGATTAAAGTACCTATTTCCTATAAAAATGTCTTGGTATTACGATTATTTTATTTGTTTGAAATATTGAGTTTTCTGTCAATCAATTTTTTGCCGATTCAAGAGAAAAATTTGATTTCGGAATCGCTTAATTCGGCATCTATTTATTAAAAGTATTATTTTCCTTTGCAAAATGCACATGTGGATATTTATGTTTGCCGTTAAATTAAAAAAAAAACTGTAATAATTAATTCTTTTAAATTTGTAATTAACATTTTAGGAAATCAGTGAAAAAACAGAAAAAAAACGCATTCTAAATAATTTAAATATCTTCTTTCAAGCCAAATTTTGGTTTTATTTGAAACATAATACCCTAAAGCTATTTCATATGAAAAGAAAAATAAATTTCTGTATGTAAATATTTTTTTTAGACAGTTTTAAAACATTGGCACATTCATTCGTCCCTTATCGACTGATTGAACCGCCATGATAGACGAATGCTATGAACAAGAAATTTAAAAATCTCTTAAAAATAAGAAATATGTCTTGAAGTAAATTAGTCAATGTAAGGATTAATTAACTGGATTTTGTAAAAGTAATACTTACTTTTTGTTTATAACTTAATGAAAATAACATTTATTCATGCACAGCTACATCTGGTGGTGTTATAGGTCAACAGCATTTCATTACATCCCTTATTTCGAAAGCCCCCCAAAAATTAAAAAGAAAAATTAAAGAAATATGGAACACCAGCAGTACAATAATCCGAATTGGTATTTATGTTTTAAAATAAATTATCTTTAACTTCATATAACCAGTAGTTTAGTTTATATATATATATATATATATATATATATATATATATATATATATATATATATATATATATATATATATATATAGGTTTTATTCAATTTTCTATATTTCATTAGAAGTATAGAAAAATTACTTAAAACTAGGTGAAATGATAGCTTCACGCTCGCGTCTCAGTCCATCCTTCAAATCTGTAAATCAACCATCCGACCGTCCATGGAATATTGCTGTCATTTATGGTCTGGTGCCGCCGCTGTACGTCTCAAGATCCTCGACAAAATCCAGAGACGGATATGCAATGTGATAGGTCCTGATCTGGCATCTAGTCTACAGTCGCTTTCTCACAGACGTGCCATGGCTTCCCTCTGTCTCTTCTATAAGTATTTTCACGGCAACTGTTCTGACGAGTTGCTTTCTCTGATTCCCAGACTGCATGAATTTAAGCGATCTACTCGGTTGGCATCTCGGTCCCACCCTTTCACTGTCGAAACGGTTAAATGCAACCGTCTTTTCTACTCAAACATCTCGCACTTCCCGTTTGTGGAACTCCTTTCGTCTTTCTTGCTTCCCTGATAACTACAATCTTCAAATATTCAAGTGTAATGTCAATCGACATCTTCTGATACTTTGATCTTGTTCCCCGTCCTTCTCTGTATCCTTTCCTTAAAACACGCCGCTTTACTCTTGTTCTCAATCCTCTGTAACCCCTTTGCGTGCTAGTGGCACTCCCGCCTTGCCTGGGGTGAATTGCTTTAAGAAAACCTTTACATTTTTCGATTTTTCAAACTTGTTTTTATTTAAATAAAAAGAAATCTTGTTACGAACAAGATTACAATTAATTTTTTTTAAATGAATATTCAGTATAGATTTTTTTTTGTACTCTCTGAACAAAAATAATGTGCCTTATCGAAACATGCAAGAAGTAATCCTAAAAAAAATAATTTTTGAATTTTATTGAATTATTTTTAGGAAGATTTGGGAAGAATTGTCCGAATGTTCACACTTGATATTTCATAAATGTTTACTAAAATAACAACATCAGGGATTTTTCTTTATATAACTGAAAAAAAATCTTTTCGGAAAACATTCCAAATTAAAAAGTACTTACGAGATATCGAATGAGCCTGGGTGAAACTGAACACCTCAAAATATTTCTACAAATACTTACTTTTTGTTTATAACTTAATGAAAATAACATTTATTCATGCACAGCCACATCTGGTGGTGTTATAGGGCAACAGCATTTCATTACATCCTTTATTTCAAAAGCCAGCAAATTGGTATTTATGCTTTAAAATAAGTTATCTTTAACTTCATATAACCACTAGTTTAAGTATATTAATCTGTACGCTTTATTTCTAATATGATGCATTCAATATAGTCTATTACTTAAACATTTTGTGCAAATTCTTAAAAATCACCCGTTTTACTTTCATTTCTGAAAAAAAAAAAACGCGTCTATTTTGGATGTTAATATTTTTCGACAAAATAGAAGAAGATTGTCATTGAAGATACCTAAGTGAGCATTAACTAAAGAGCCCTATTTTTTGTTTAATTTGGTCAATTTTAGGTGTTTAATCTTTAAAGGTACTTTGTACCATTAATAAAACTACTTGGCACTATTACAAAAGCTACTTCGTACCATTAATAAAGCAACCAATAGTAAACGTATCTACGATGAATGGCTTGCAAAACCTGTATGCGTAACACAGCATTAGGGACAAATTCTGCTTAGCACTAGCCCAAGGTACTAACCTCTAAGCCATTTCACAGGACACGACATAGAAACTGCTCTTATTCTGTCATTGTCGGGGTGGTTGGGGATATGGGGACAGTGGTGATGATTCCTGAGATAAAGCACCCCCAACCTCACACCACTGTGCTATCGTCTTTTTCTCATTTTTGTAAACAGAATCGTGAATGTGGTCTACAACTGACCAGTAAATAATGGAAGGCTTGGTTAAGTCACACTGACCATTAAGCCAGTTCTAATATCCCGTTCCTGCGGCAAATTTCAACAAAAAGAGTTTTATATTCCCTTAGGATGGTAATGGTGGCGGCGGTTAAGAGAGATCGATGGAGGGAGAGGAGACGGTACGGTGAAAGTGGGAGGTGGGGGGGTTTCGTGTGAGGAGGGACCCAATGAATTGAAAATGCTGCTAAGCTTTTCACCCATCCCATGCCCTGCTCTCATTCCGAATTTTCCAACCCAATCGTACGGGCCAACCCCTCGACCTCACCCCTCCACCGATACGCTCCCCGCCTCTCACGTGCATTTCTTTTCAGTTTCCCTGCAGAATGCTACTGATGGTGTTGCCAAAGTTGATTATGTGCAATCTACAGGGACACTGGACTAAAATGAAGGGTGGGTGGAGGGTACGATGGGAGAAAGAAGAGAAAGGTGAGATATACGCACAAAAAAAAAAAAAAAGAAATGGAGAAAGTTGACAGAAAGAAAGGAAAAGGGGGAAAATATGGCGATGCAATGTGTGCGGGGAGGGAGGAAATGGCTGCACCCTTTTTAAATGCTTATTTCTGTCAAATCTCAACTTGCAGACTGGACATTCAACACACTTCTTTATTTGTAATACAGTGATGAATGTCGATCGACAAAAGTCGAATTTTTATATCTCATCCTGTTCCTATCTATCTATCTATCTATCTATCTATCTATCTATCTATCTATCTATCTATCTATCTATCTATCTCAATCTGTTCATATCTATCCCAATCTGTTCATATATAACCCAGTGTTTTCATTATCTATCTATCTATCTATCTATCTATCTATCTATCTATCTATCTATCTATCTATCTATCTATCTCAATATGTTGATAACAATCTATGTCAGTCTGCTCATTATCTATCTATCTATCTATCTATCTATCTATCTATCTATCTATCTATATCTATCTCAATCTGTCCATATCTATCTATCCTAATCTGTTCATATATAAGGAGTCTTTTCATTAGGATATCTATCTATTCATCTACGAATCTATCTATCTATCTATCTATCTATCTATCTCAATATAGTTGATAACAATCTATGTCAGGAATCATTATGTATGTATGTATGTATGTATGTATGTATCTATCTATCTATCTATCTATCTATCTCAATATGTTGATAACAATCTGTCAGTCTTCTCATTATCTATCTATCTAGCTAGCTAGCAATCTCAATATGTTGATAACTATCTATCTTAGTCTGCTCATTATCTATTTATCTATCTATCTATCTATCTATCTATCTATCTATCTATCTATCTACACCTGATAGAGGCCTTTTCATTTTTTTTTTCTTTTACCCTCCCACTGATTTTCCTACTCACCGATTGAGATTTTATTGGAGACATTTTTCCACATAGACGACAGTATTGTTCAATCACTTTTCAGATGAGGCTGGCCATGTGGATTTTGTAGTTTTCTCAATTGGTATGAAAGGCTTCACTTCTTAGATAAATCCTGCTGTCTAATCTCTACATGCTATGAGATTTTAAATGTTTCATATGGTGAAAAACGTAAGAAAATAAAGACGATTTCTACCGACGTAAGAATATCTATCTGAAACAAAATGGAAGCACTAAAAAGCTTCAGATGTTTATCGTTTTCTCCAGAATATAATAGCACTCTAACTAACCATTAATTTCCATCAGTTTCTTTGTATGTAAATATATGGCAACCATAATGGTAATATAGTATCCTTATAAGTAAACTTCGGCTATCATTGAGCGAGCAGACAATTCTACCCGAGTTATGCTTTACTTCCATTTCTGGTCATTGTATAGTATCTGTTCTCTTCATCTCTAATCATAATAGCAATATTAATTATTTCCTTATAAAGAAACGCCAGCATTTATTGAAAGAGCAGCCAGTACTACCCGAGTTACGCTTTTCTTCGCATTCTGGCCATTGGGTTGGGATCAATGTATAGTATCTGCTATCCTCATCACTAATGGTAATGTTAATATTAGTCATTTCCTTATAAGGAAACTTCGGAATTCATTGAGCGAACGGTCAATGCTACTCGAGTTACATGTAGATAAAAGCGTTGGTAAAATCCAGCGACTTGACAAAAAAATGTTGCGAATTCAAAACCTGGCTACAAAAAAAAAAAAAAAATCAAATCAAATGGAGAATTGAGTTAAAGGGAGATAACTTATACTGAGACATCCGAAAGAGACATGGCATGTGGAACTAGAACAACCTACCCTGGTAGACGAAATAAAGGGTTCAGTTCGAAATTTCGGTTACCTGAAGAAGGCCGGAGCGTACAATGGCTAGAACAAGGTGAATATGGCCACAAAGATGAGGAAAACAGCCCAAACAATAACCTCATATAGAGTACAAAAGGGTCAGCTCACAAGCTCATAGCGCCGTTTACCAAATATAGAAACTATCCCCGGCTCGCAGTCCTCATGTTAGGAAAAACCCATGACTCGTTGCTTCCTTTTAGAAGATAAATTCGGTCCGCTCGAATATCCGTTGTGAATCCTAAATATAGCTTCACCAGAAACACAAACGAATCCCCGTCGAAGCTCGGGTTTCCTTTCAGGATTAACAAAAGTAAGTCTTCCTGCTCTCCTTTCTGTTCTCATATTTGTGATGATATACATGGTATTTATAGTTTCCTGTGTGGGAAAAGTTGTAATAAATATGTATAAAGATGTGCGACAATAGTCCGAACAATGAATAGTGTTCATAATACCTCATCTTTCGGCTATTCTGTTCCGTCCGTGTATTAAGATGTTATAATATCATACATATAATAATGCTTATAATGGGGGAAGTTGGTAGAATATTCCTTTTCTCGAATAGCACTCTCATTACTCATATTAGAATGTCAAAGATGATTAGATAACGCACCAAATGTTGAAAACAAAAATGAAGATACTACTCCAAAACAATTTATGGAATTTCTACCAAGAATTTCTATTTCTGGAATGATTAAAATAGTTTAAAATATTATAAGAAATTATAAGAAAGTAGATATGAGAAGCGGGGATATTACGGGGAATATATTCTTTTTTATGTGCTTATAGGACATGGACGGTCATGACTCTCTACGACTTCCTGTGTTTAAGAATATATTAGAATAGAAATACTCGTGAAGAAAATTTCACAGTTTTTATTTTTTTTAATTTTCTGATTAATCTTAATACACAGTGATTGAATGTCAAGTTCTACGATAATAAAATATCCGTTGAAATATTATGAAACGCCTCGTTAAATATTTGAGCTTAACAACTTTAACAAAATACTGCAATAACAATCATAAATATGAATGTTGTTCTTTATTTTAAGAAGTAAGGGGATACAAATGAAAAGATTTTAAATTGATATTTTTTCCATTTCACTGAAACAGCCGTTAAACACTTTTAATTTCACTTTTATTTTTATTTTTTTAACTGAAACCAGGTAGCGTCTCTGATATGTCTTTTCCCCGGCTTTCTACGTGATCAAAACGGAATAGTCTTTTATTTATCAGGTATTGGCAATCTATCTAGCGGTCGGGCAAATACTAAATAACTAAGGGAAGGACAAAGAGAATTAAAACATGTGTTCAACAGTTCTTAACGTTCTCTCTCTCTCTTTCTCTCTCTCTATTATCTCTCTCTATCTATCTCTCTATCTCTCTCTCGCTCTCTCTCTCACTCTATATATATATATATATGTGTATATATATATATATACTTATCTCTATCTATCTGTCTTTAAATTAAGGATTAAATATTAGAAAACAGTTAAAAAGAAATTATGGGATATTTTTCACATATTTCATATTTGGATACAAGGGCATTTTGAATCACGACACTTCGAAAACAGACAGAACATGTTTGAAAAAAAAAACAGTTCTAGAACTATTTTATGAGATTCCTATCTCCTACTCTGAGTGTAATGGAGAAGGGGTATAGCATTTAGAATTATTGTGACAATGCAAATAATTTTGACTCGCACTCAAGAGTTTAAAAAGAACTACATATCTACTGCAGACATCAGGCAAAGAGTGATACAATAAAGAGGAAGAAAAAAATTGGGAGATTTAACGCACTTCTCCATTTTCTTTTTGTCCATATAGCCATGAAATAAATAATCGAGATCACGGATAACGAAATTTTTGTACTATGTGATCAATATATTCTTACTTATAAAATTTCAAATAATTTCATGTTGAAACAAAATGTTAATAATTATTTAAAGAAATTCTTTCTTACCCTTTTCATGTGTTGTGTTAAAATAAGACTGACATACAAAATTTCGAATAATGTACATAATACCTCATCTCAGAAATATAAACAGATACTGAAGGGTGATAAATATGACGACAAAGATGAGGATAATAGTCCGAATAATGTAAATAGTGTACATAATACCTCATCTCAGAAATATAGACAAATTTCAAAACCGTTTCGAAATATAACTTTAAGGCAGATTCTTATTAACATTTCTCAGTTATTGTTATTATTATTATTATTATTATTATTATTGTGCGTGGTATCATCTTGCCAGAGATTAATTTTAAATGGTTAATTACTAAGTGCCGTCAGAGGTTAATTAGTAGAAAAGGCACTGCAGGAGAATCATCTATGCATTTGGGATGTTTCTTTTACATGGAGACGGTTTTGCGAATGATACGTGATGTTCTACACAAAGTAATCTTTTGTAGCTTGGAGGTGCTGATGTGTCCAGGAATTTTATTCATTTCGGTACCCTTCTTCATCATGACTAATGCCTCTATCAAAACAGGGATTTTTGAGCTTCCATATTTTCGTTCGATTTGAAGTATTATTATTATTATTATTATTATTATTATTATTATTATTTCCTTTGATTTCCTGTGTGTACTCATTTCTTTCCGGGTCCCAACCGGAGACCTAAAGCCAAAAATGTCATCATGACATTTTTCACTGAGCAGTTTTGAAAAAAAACATCACACATATTTTACATAGGTAAAGCCCTTCGTAATGTGTGGGCTGTGCTTGTGAGTACGTTTTTTTTGTATTTCTTTAAGGCATGGTCTACCAGGGATTCCTTCAATGAGTCTATTGGAATATTTTCCAATCAATCCGAGGGCTCCAACTACAACTAGAATTGTTAATGTCCTCATGTGCCACATTTATGAGATTTCGATATCAAGGTCCTTGTGTTTTGATAATTATTTGAAGATCTTCAAAGATACATTGCAATCTGCTGGGTCTGTCATGTCAATAAGGAGCCACATTTTGGCTTTGCGGTCTCTAATCACGATGTCAGGGCGATTAGATTTGATTGTTCTGTTTGTGTGTAATGTGAAGTTCCATAAAATTGTTACAGGCCCTATCTCCATAACCGGGTCTGGGTGGTGTTTATACGAATTTCTTAAAGTTTCCTTTCCGTAAGTGTTGCAGTGATTAATTGTTTCTGGATATTTATCACAGAATCTGCATTTTGGACTAATACAATTTTTCAATATTATTATTATTATTATTATTATTATTATTATTATTATTGCTAGCCAAATTACCCGCACCTTGCTGCACACTATTTTTTTGTAAGAAAACGATGATTGATTTTAAATCATTGTTATAATTTGTGGAGTAAAATGATGCATTTCAATATTACTCAATGATTTTGTCAATGTGATCTCCATCTTCTGGTTTTCTCCTATTTTTTGGATAAGAGTCATTCCCTTGTACAAATTTAAATTTAATTTAAATCAAAGGGAAAAAAATTCAATGGGGGTAGTGCAGAAACAGCTTGATCTGACCCCTTTGATATGTATTTGATGCAATGAATTTGATTCAAATGAATTGATTGAATTTCAACATTTATTGATAAGGCACAGCAGATTGGTGATTTCTTGCTCAACCTGACGTCCATATTGTCTCATTTTGATCTTGACGATGTGACCTCCATCTTCTGACTTTCTCCTTCTATATTTTAGATAGGACTTATCTCTTTGTTCAAATTTAAATTTAATTTAAATCAAAAGGAAAAAATTTCAATGGGGGATTTGTAAAGGGGTTAAACCACCTTTGATCAAAATGAAATATACTT